TGTGGGCAAACGGTTAGCCTCTCTCCTATCTACTGGACACGACCACCCAGGAGATGGTCACCAGGCGGCCATTTTGATTTCTTGACTGCCAATTGAAATTCTGTCATACTAATTAACAAGAATTTTAACATGATTTCTGAGTTTGGTGAAATTTGTTTAGAAACTGTTGTTTTATTTTGATAAAAGTACTAGTTTTGTTTTCATTGGTTTACTTGTAAATAAATAGAAGGTTTGATGTTGGGATAAGTCCCAACATTTTTCAGATTGTTTGACAAATTTATTGAAATTTAAGGACTATGATGTTTGCATATTTGTATTATACTGTTTTTATTTGCTGCCAAACAATTTACTTACAGTCTTGAGTCTACAGATAGCCAATTTTCACAAGGGGAACACAAATATTTGAGGTATTTTTTCTCTGACCAGGTGTTTTCGGTGAATCGAGGAAGGGAGATTCATTTCCCCAAATTATCTCTTTTTGACAGTTCTAAACTGGGCGTCATTTTGACAGGTATCACTTTGCCTACTTGTCTTCAACTTGTGAGAAATTGCCACACTGATTGGCTGTTTAATCCCAATTAAGCTGAGAGGAAATGTTCATCTGGGCTGCAACAGTAAAGCTAAAAAGCCTTCTAGCTTCCCCAAGGTTATTTTGGCTTGTAATTAATAGTAAAGGTCTGTAGTTTTTGTTCTAAATTGAAATTGTCAAAATGTCTTGTCAGGAAGCCTATTTTTTTCGTCAACATCTCTACTGTCGGCCTCGGAGGAGGGGGAGGAGAGGTGCTGACGCTATTTGCTAATTGTGGTCTTTAAACAAACTTCAGGGCAAAGGTATTTACTCTTGTCAGGGCCAATTGTAGTGTTGGACTCCACAATTTAAGTTATATTACAAAGAAATGCTTCAAAACAACTAACTTTTAAAATTTCCCGAAATTTCATTTGAAAATTGGTCTTTTCTTCTATTTTGTTGATGTGTTTTCTGGTAATTAACTTTGAGATTTCATTTTGTTTCATAAAATAAATTTGTCTCTTCTTGTGCTTTATCTGCCATTTTGCAGATTTTTCTAATATCGAGGTTTGAACCCTGACAAAGTTAACAGTTTATGAAATTGTATATTCCCTTAGATTGTATTTCATTTACAATCAAAATCCTGAACGTAATTATAATCTGAATTTCTAAACTTGAGATGAAATTGCAAGAAGTAAGTCTGAGGTATTCTTGTTAAGTAATAAAATGTCTCATAAATTATTTCCTCATATGCAAACAAAGATCAAAGGACAATAAACATGACTGTAAAATAGGTCTTAAACTGAGAAAAAGTTTTAGATCTTTTTAAAAAGTCAGCAAAAATAATCAGTTAAGCATGTTTACCTCTCCCGTGACAGGGATACAACTTAAGGAAGAACTCATAAACGTAACCTTTGACCTCCCACACGGAAAAGTCCAGATTTTATATAATACTTCCTCCAATCAGAAAGCTATACTTATCATATCAATCCCATGGGCCCAATTTCAGGCAGTCCATCTTCTTGACTGACCAGCCACCACCTTTGATTGGCAATGACCATGTGGAAATCAGCTGGACAGATATAATTGTGGCAGTTTACATCTGGTCTCCATGACTCAACCTGTCAGTGACCTCCGAACACAAAAACAATCAGGGCCTTTCTCTTGATATATATTCCAGGCAATCACGGCTGTCTTTAATTGTTGGCAGATGTTGTGGAAGTTATGATCAAAACGGCACCCCCAGGGTAATTGAAATTATCTCATATCGGGTGATTAGAGGACAAGAGCTTGTGTTATTTCTCTGGGCGAGCTTTGAGGTCCTATCTTGTCTTGTCGTTATCATGGCATTCTCACATTTATTAAATATTTATAAAGTAATATTGGAAATTATGCTTTGACAGGATTATCTTTTTGATAAAATCAGCTGTCTTGGGATCGGATTGACAATGTTTCTTTTGAAATTTTTTCAGAGGCTTGCAATTCTGTATGACAGCATAAAATCAATTTTTGTTTAATAATTAAGGGATCATGAAACCCATGAAAATAAATGTTTGAAAAAATATGATATGGTAAGACATTTTAGAGATTTGATAGTCTCAATGCAGATTGAAAGCATCCTTCTGATGTGAGAAAGATGGCTGACAGCATCCAGATTGTCGCTTCAGCCTTTTTTCATGCGGTGATTTTGCCACTTTATTGTCATAATGGGGTGAAGCAGAATCATACACATTTGCAACAACCTTCAACACCCTTCTGCATTAGAAGTAGGGGATTGGGGGAGAATTACTTCTGATATTGGTTGACTTTTCAATGAAATCAAAGCATTTGGTTTGCGGATGCACACTCCATGAGGTGAATAGACAAAGTATGATTAAGTTATTGATGTGCGGATCATCGCTATGCAATATTGCCGCATCCTAGCTGATATTTTCATCTCATAATCAACACCTCCATTAACTGTATTGTTGGCAAGTCTGCGAGAGATCATTGTCTCGTGAAAAAGCGAGGGGTCACAGCACAGGGAATTATGGGTAAAGGGGGCTAATGATGTCATCATGTGCTCGCTGTTTTTCCGTTTTCCAATCAATTGAATTGTGTGAGGCCCCGACACCGGATTATAATGGTGGCCACTGTCCCGCAGACTTCATGATTGGCAAATTGGCCTCATCTGACGATTCCGATATTGTTTGTATTGGCAATATTACCACATTTTAGTCAACAGTGATGCTCCCTTTGTCTGATTAAATTAAATAGGAAAACCAAGCTTGATAGTTTGCATATCTCCAATGGAGTCTCATAGTTCATATAACGGTGAATAAAGTTAATATTGAAGATGAGTCAGTGGTATAGTTGATGACACTTAATAATGTGCCTGTATGCATTTTGAATAAGTGAATACAGACATAATCATGTTTTTATGAAATATTACTCCAGTTTAAATTTGAAAATTTCTTTATATTTTTCAACTTAATGTATTTTGAAAGATGTTTTGATGTGTTCAGCCTGGTAACGTTTCCTGGTTGAAATTATAAGTGATATAGGAAAATAAATAAGATTTGGAAGATTTGAGGTTTGGCTCCCCTGGGTTGTGTCTAATCTATAATAAATAGTCCAGAATACAGATCAACTTTCTGCCACCATCTTTTGTTTCCTTGGCTTTCATTTCCTGAAACTTGATCACATGTTTATCAGTTTTCAAACACAGCCCTATGTGATGAACAGCAGTGGGGCTTGTGTATCACAAATGAAATTAAAGAGAGGTCTGATAAATGAAGAGTTCCCACCAAGGGAGATTACCCTTATCTGTCGATGGGCTCAAGACAATTGCAATCCCCTGCTGCCTCCAATTAGAGCTCTCATATACGATCCAGTTAATCGGGAAATATACTAAACCTTGCCACCAAATATGTTTTGAGTCATTTCGCCACCCACAGTCACTTGCCGGTATCTTTCCTGTCGGCATGCCATACAGATCCCACTTCCTATCATACAAATATGACAGAGTTATAGCCCTTTGCTAAACATGGGCCATATTTCAAGCTAGACATTGACATATGAAGCATTTTATTTCTGGAAATAAAACACAGATGCCATGGGAAGCCCCATTTCTTTAGTCTGTGGTAATTTGGTTTTAATTCTTTGAAATTAATGTTGTTCTGACACAAGCATTTAAAGCGATGAACCCAGATTGCTGGAGTAATAGCCTTCCATATTTCAGCCTGGTAGGGACCATCTGTGGAGGGGAAATATGTGTCCCATCTTGCAGGGTGTTGAAACAGGCTATCCTGGGCCTAGTGAAAAACTAACTTTCATCAAATTTCCTTAGGAGGTGCTTGTTGGGGGGATCCCACACAGCTGTCTGTGTCTGTCAGATCGGCATGGCAGGGGGCAATCCCACCAACGAAGAGAATCATACACGATACCAAACATCACGCTTATGATTACCGCTGGAGCAGACCCTCTACATTACCCATAAGCTCGTTTCATGATCCCTGCAATTTCCAGGATCTGATCTGCTTTTCTCTTGCAGTGTGTGATGTATATATGGAATGAGGAACAGGAATTGGTTGTGACTTTGTGTATTGTTTTTGGTCCATTATTTTCTCTTTGAAGTCATTTTCGCCTGTTTTTCCGCCTGTTCAGCTTAACATTGTTGTTACTTTCCTATCTGTTCCGACATAGATATTTCTGCAGTTGAGATTCTTGTACAAGATCCAATTAGATTAATGTGTTGGTTATGATTTTCACATCAGTAGAAGTAGTTGTCCTTCAGGAACAATATCTCGGCTGCCATCAACTGTAGATAAATGCATTCTACTGCTGCCACCAAATTTTGGAGCCATAAATATCTCCGATGCCACCTACAGTGCCAGACCTCATGGCAATTGTACATTCATGGAATTTCAAGAAAAGAGGTCTTTTTACAGATGCTTTTGACATAGCAGATATTACCCTTTTGACATTGAAGATATATTCCTTTTGACATAGCTGATATTTCCCTTTTGACATTGAAGATATATTCCTTTTGACATAGCGGATATTTCCCTTTTGACATAGCAGATATTTTACGTTTTGACATAGGAGATATTTCCCTTATGACATAGCAGATATTTCCCTTTTGACATGGCAGATATTTCCCTTTTGACATAGGAGATATTTCCCTTTTGACATTGCAGATATATTCCTTTTGACATAGCAGATATTTCCCTTTTGGCATAGCAGATATTTCCCTTTCGACATATCGGAAAGGTCATCATTCATTTCATGTCATAGAGAGAATCCAAAATAGGCTGTTTCTTGGATGTGAAGATTCTTAAGGGTCCCCATGGATTCTACAGAAGTCCAAACACTGAAAGATTTAACTTAGTTTTTGATTACAGAATTTTTCGATGTCTTGAAAACGGAAATTTTTCCGTCAAGAAGAAATTCATTCTGAAACTTCCGGAGTCTGCGGACTCGATCACTAAATTTTTTTTTCTAAATTTTTCAGTGCTTGAACGATCCCAGTATGCAAGCGACGACCCTTTCTTTAAGCACAAATGCCGCTTCTGTCACAAAGTGTTTGGCAGCGACAGCGCTCTGCAGATACACGTTCGGTCTCACACGGGTAGGTTGTTGTTCTCTGTGTAGTGGTGCTGTCTCAGTAATACACTATAGTCTATACTGGTGATGGGCAGGGAGGCTCAGATTGCACACTCACGTACTCACAAAAAGAGAACCTTCTTGCACTCATTAACATTTTGATTGTCTTTAAAACATCATTTCATGTCTTACATAATTCATGTTTTTAATGTTCAACATTTCATAACAATATTTTTCAATATTGGCAATTTTGTTTGAAATAACTTTCTCTTGATATTCCAGTTAAAATGTTTCATCCTAATATTTATTAATTTAAAACATTCTACCCTTTTATGTCTAATGATTTAACAACAGAAACTTTTGCCAACCTACCAATCTGATTGTATGAACTATGTAGCTGAAATGAATTTGTTAACATGGTTGCACAGAAATATTATAAATTATAATCATTGTTAATTTTGTGAGTGTGTGATCCTTGTTTAGCTTCTGGTTGAGGATTAGCTTGATGTTGAATCTATTGTGTAGAAGTAGAACTGCATGCTGGGTAATATTGTGTATCAGCTCCTGTCTCTACTCACCTGTATATCGGACACTAGGTAGATATTAACACCACTAATCCGTCACTGTCTAACCCTGGACAACAAGCACTGCGTTGTAACAGGTACACGTCCACATTAGCAGGACAGTCCCTGCAGCTTTCAAGATAAGAAGAATTTTGAATTCTTTTTGATATTCTTTAAAATGATGTAAATCAAATATAAAACTTTTTAAAGCTGTTTCATGGTTGTTATGAGGGGGTTTTATAAAAAAATCCACTTGATCAAAACAGTAAGTATCTTTCACAAATGACATGTAATTGTTCTGAATACATATTAATCTATGTTGGGTCAGTTTTCACCAAGATGGCCGACACCAATTTAGTTCAAGATATGTATTGTCATATAACCTAATATACAGGACTGCTTATGAATTCTGTTATACTAAATTAACCTGTGTCCACAAATATTAAAGTTGTTCGTTGTTCTGTTGTGATTCATCAGCTGATGTATGTAGCACAACATCCTTCAATACTGTGCCAGTGTATGGTGGGACATTTTCAAATTTTCAAATTTTCAAATTTGAATAATTGGACAATTGTAAACTTTTGTAAGTCTTTTGTTATGGTTTAAATTTTGATGGCTGAAATGTAAAGGCATTCTGACTGGGCAGAATACAAACAGCTACCTACAGTCAGTGAAGTGAAAAGAAACTTGAATCTCAATTTTGCACAGTTGCATTCCTACACAGAGCAACTTCAAATAAGGAACTGTTTCAACTTTATCACATCCACAACAAAGCGAGACATTTTTTAGAAATTTCCTCGTTGGTCAACTTTTAAATAAGTCAAAGGGAACTGAACGAATTGAAAAAGCCAAACATGGATAGTGTATCGAGTGACTATCATGGTGTATTTATCAGTGGAACAATTATTACACACTGTTACATTTTCGCTTGAGTAGTAACAAAGCTGAAGGTGAAAATAGTGTTCTATTTTTGAAAATAATATCATTCGTTTAAAACAGCTAAAACACTTTCCAAACAAAATGGAATTTCATTGGTTTACATGTCTCTCCTTTAAAGCTACCATTTACAGTAAATCCTTTAATCTTCTTGTGGCTATCTGGTGATGATTATTAATAGAATTCTTGCCCAAGGAAATACTAAGAAAGCACAATACTTGCAAAACAAACCATTCTACATTTACCCAGTGAAGGAAAAATAATACAAATATGAAATCATAAAACAGTTAATAACTCATGTATGATAGCTATATCGGTTTTAAATTAGTCTGTTATGACAGAGAACAGTTAAATTCTGAGATTAGTGTTAAAAGGTAATTGGTTTCAATGTCGATGACATTTAATGTAAGTATGCAACAAATACCACGATGTTTGGGAAACAAGACCAGGTGTATCTGTTTGGCATGATATGAAAAGATGGTGATCTTTCAATGGCAAAGCTGTTTGCCTGTAGGGTTGTCGAGGATGTGGTTGAACAAAAAATTGTGATCCTAATGGGAATATGTGGAATAAGGGTGGGGAACATGAGTTTGTTCATGTAGAAAGAGGATGTTTTTAACAATGTTTAGTCACATCGTAAATGCAAACAAATCTCACCCTCATGTATGCATTGATTTGGGGTCTTGTCGGCCTGCCAAAGTTTAGCTTATTAGGCTTGCAACCTTTTTGACACCTCAACAAAATGGGTGGGCGGATTTCACGAAGATCACTTTTGTCCTATGGAGTTTGATTTTCATACTTAAAGAGGTGTCGAAAATGGGTGCAAATTTTGCCGTAAAGTATATCGCCAATTATCCGCAAACCAGCAAGCACGGGGCAACCTCCGGGCACCATGAGCAAAGTGTGCATTGATACACCTATTCATAAACATGGCCAGGTGAAGGCAAGAGTTCTTTTGAAAATAAGGTCTTCAAACACATCGGAATACGCTCAATGCAAAACCACTAAGTCAACACCTGGGACAGAGCGTGAAAACCTGACCAAGATTGACAAATTCTGTATACCATAGGTTGTGTGACACTTGGACTGAAAAAAGGCGGAGATCGTAATGAGGTACTCAATGTTGAAAAAAGTACACGAAATTTGTGAGCAGACAAACTCCTCCATAATCAAAATGAAAAAGAGGCTAGCCAAGTGACAAGAGCTTGCTTAATATGTCTGTTCTCATTTTCAAACAATTTACGGCAAAATACCACCTCCCCAGTTTAGACTGAGGCAATACAGAATGAATACCATACGTAAATGTATTTTTCAACTACACCTCTAGAACAAATACTACAAAATATCAAATGCGACTCGGGACGCGGGTGATGAAAAGATTTGGCTTTGCGGGTAGCTGGATGGATTTTTCTCACATTCCAATCAGCGACAGAGAACAGACTGCTAAGTACTCCGTGTGTTAGAAATTAGTACATTGTGTTTACTCAATTAACGATGCATCAAAATTCTGTAGCTCAGCTCGTTCCAAGCCCTTTTCTGAAGAAACAAAGGGTTTCGAGGGCCATTTCATCTTGTAAATGTGAAACTCTGCCCCTTTACCTCATTTCGTGACCTTTTTCAGTGAATTGCTAATGTTTCGTTCGTCATGACTATGTATTTTACAGGAAGATAGTCATGTCACATATTGACACACAAATATAAAGTAAATCTGTATGACAATTGAACATTTGAAAATTTGCACCAAGGTGGCCTTCGGTAATCCCTGGCTGATGTGTAGCAGCTAAATGTCTGCTTGGCTCTGCAAACTTCCACTTAAATAGGACATGAGAGAGGAGCAGGTTGATAAATGGCATTTTGTAAGCCATAATATGTGACAAGAATTTAAATGAAATTGATATTTACATTATTTCTTTACACTGTAAATATTCACTACCTGTTGGGACATTATTCATGGCTATTTAAATTTGTTGTGTTTGTATATAATTGATGTGGTACAGTTTCTTTCTTATCATCGCCTCAAAACATTGAAACTTTGTTAGAGAGATAATTATTAGAAAATTTTAAAAAATTCGTAGTCAAGAAAATATAAATGAGTTGAAATATTCATGAAAACACTAAGGCTTTGTTTGAGAGATAGGCATTAGAAAATGGAAGAAGTTCAAAGTCAAGTACAATATAATGAATTGATATGACACAAAAACATTGAAGCTTTGTTAGAGAGACAAGTATTAGAAAATGGAAGCAGTTTCAAAGTCAAAATGTTAAGCAAAGATAAATGAATTAAAATGGTCATTTGAGGCACATTTATGTTGAAGTTCTGCTGCTCACAAGTTGATGAGGTGTGTATTTGACTTGTTGGTGGGACAAGCATTCCAGTGCAGTTCCAAATGCTATGAAAGGAGGATTTTGTCAATGAAATTACTCCTAGACCTGAGAAAACCATTTAGATTTCAGCCTCTCAGAACTCCGCGGAGAGAATTGGTGTTTAATCCAATCTCTGAAGTCGTATACCAGAGAAATGGGGGGAAGAAAAAAGGGAACATGGGACAGGAGTGAGCTTATTTTTCCAAATGACTTTTAAAGTTTGATAATTCAAATGGTTACTGTGACTTCAGCTGATGTAAAGTATGTTCAAAATCAACAAGTAAATAACTACGTATGTAAATAGATGAAGATGCGAACTGATGGGAAGTTGATCAGAATAAACAAATAATATTTGAATTAGTAAATGTTGATACAAGATAATTAAATATATCCAAAATTAATGAATAAATGTAAATAAAGAATAAATCAATATGAATTAGAATTGATAAAATATTTTTAAGTCTAAACAGGAAAGTGTGTAGGGATGTTCCTATTCTGGCTGCCTCGGTGTTATTTCCCCCATATAATACACCATAGATGTAGCACATTAATGTAGATGATGCATTAGTGAGCTGGATTTACAGTCTGGTCCTAATGGACATTGGTCAGTGAAGAAGCACCAATAGGGTCATTATCACAGTATTTCTGATATACATCTGTGCTGAAATGACCGCCAGTGAGACACACAGCTGAAGGTGGTAGAGGAAGGTCATTCATTCCTCCACAGGGCCATTGATAGCCATGATTCAAACTTGTAGTCCTTTCCATACAGGCTGCATCAATCATAAGTAGTGTAACAGTACATTTCGGAGTGGGGACTTATAGAAACTGATGTTTAAGAATATTTGGCTCAGTGTTTTTTTTATATGTATTCCATCATTCCGAAGTCTGAAAATTCTTAACTCTGAAATTTGCTTACTTAACCTAAAAAGATACCAAGACACTTTGAAAACGCATGCCATCAGACGTCACTACCACACACCAATTTCTTAGTTTTCTGTCAGTTCGCCGAAATTTATTTCCCAAATTCCACTATGCGTTTTCATAGTGTGTCAGAATACATTGCTAATTCTAGGTATTTTTCTGGATAAGTTTTGGTGTGGATTGTGAAGGATATGAAGAAAACAATGCTTAAATAGTATTTTTTCTGAATTTATATTTGTATGAATTAAATTTTACAAATAAGTACAAATTTAAATTGGGGGTAGAGGAAGACCAGAGATTTATCTGCAGTAACCGTGTGACACTTGCACTCCATTACTTGATCAGTTTGGTATCAGAAGAGGGATTTTCCTGTGATTTGGCTGCATGGACAAAAGACCAGTTCACATGATCCCTCAGTGTTCCTCTTTATGGTGCTAGGCTTATGGCTGTTAGTATGAAAGATTCTTCTCTGGTGGCACACATATTTCATCCTCTTTTATTCTCCCATCTCAGCCCTCTTAAGCCTTTGAAACTCAAATAGGTCAGAGAATTGCATAACAGAGTTTAAACCTCACTGCAGCTTTTTGTTGCAAGATCATCGAGGCAAGGAAATTGGAGAAAGCGATATTTGTCCATGAAACGTTTCCATTGTCCGAGCCAGGTCTGTGTAGGCTCATGGTGTAAGTGGTCATTGTGTCCAGCCCTCGGACAGCCACAATAATCAATTGGGCGCACAGAAATGGTCAGTTCTGTATTTAATATGAATGCCCATCTTGAAGGATCACGGATTAGCCGTTAATTATGTCTCATATGCATTACTTGACACACGCAGACAAATATGGGAGTGGGGCTGAGTTGCAGGACTAATGAAACATTAGAAGGGGCGTCTTTGGTGATGGACAATTCAGGAAGTCATGTGAAAGGTTCTAAGAGGTCCCCGTGTTGATAAGATGAACTGATCAAGCCAAGGCAAGATAATAACCCAATGTTGAAATCCCCTTGACCAACATGAGGAGATGTCTCATCAATGCAATTAAACAGTTGGCTCTTCTGTATGAGATCTATACTTATGATATGAAATGGCAGTGACAGCCTACTCATGAATAATGTAAGGGGTTGTTAGAGATTAAGGATTGTCTGTCACCCCATTTCATGATTAGTAGATTAATTTTTGTGATGAAATGTATAAATCGGACACCTTTCCCCAGACCCCCAAAATTTAATATTATTTTTTGACATTGTAAATATCATTTTTCTGTATGAAGGGACGTTTTTGGTTATCAAATTTCTGTACTTTCCTATAAATTAACCTGTTTGGATTTTAATTAAGGTTCTTTTCTTTAATGCTTGATTTATGAAGTATTTGTCATGTCTCGTATTACCTAGAGACTGACTGACTCAGCCCTTTTCCAATTAAATCTTTGCGCCTTTGTGTGCCCTTTCTATTGAAACATCCCTGTTTAAACTCTTTACCCGGGCAGCCAACAGAAATGATCACTGTGAATTTATTGCATAAACCGCCTTCACACTCTAAAAATTGAATTGTAAATCTACCATTGTCTGTGCTGTTACTATCAGTTACCTTTCCCACCATGACAGAAGTTATTCTATCTCTGTTTGTCCCAACCCTTTCTTGTCAACTTTTACCCTAAATAATCCAAGGAGAAGGCCATTCTGACACAGATGATCCTGCCTCTCTGAATGTCACTGCTATCTGCCAAGGTCTGTCCTTGTGTTACTTGCAACCCATACTTCTGAACTTGAACCCCAATCACATCATTTGACCTGCCATGACATAGGTCAGATGGGTGTCCACCCATGTTCTGTTGACAAATTCATAGTTTACCTCCAACACCCAAGTCAGTATAAGTAAGTATTCTACCCCCATAACCCAGCTCTTATTCGGCATCCCACCCACTATCAACCCAGCATCCAGAGGCACCACACCCTTATCCAGCCCCCAATCCTTATACCATATCTGGGATACAGCAAGACCACACCCACTCCCAGGAGCCAGAGAGCCCACGCCTTTGATCCAGAGAGCTCATACCTCTCCCCCAGCCCACACCCAGCCCACTCCCCCAGTCCACACCCAGCCCACTCCCCCAATCCACACCCAGGACCCAGCCAGCCCACTCACCCAGTCCATTCCCCCAGTCCACCCCCAGCCCACTCCCCCAATCCACACCCAGGACCCAGCCAGCCCACTCCCCCAGTGAACACCCAAGACCCAGCCAGCCCACACCCGTAGTCACCACACCAGAGAGCTCCACCCTAGGGCAGTGTTGTTCACAGGAGCGCCCTGGTGGTGCTGCCTCATTATCCCCCCCACAATGTGCCTGACTCTTCCTCTCATCACACAATTCATAATGTTCCACCAGGCTCCAAGAAATGTGATACAGGCTCACAACTTTCTTGTTCAACACTGATTTCCTTCTTTACAAACTCCCTCCATCTGTCAGAAAGCACTTTCATTGACATTTTCACCCTGGGCTAAGCAGATTTTGAACAGAGTGTGATAAATTAAATGTCACAATCAAAGTGTCTAACTCTCAGATTTTTACCGAACAAAAAAATTGTCTTTAAATTTGCAGGTGCTTCTTGTGTTTGAAACGAGTGACAGCATGAACTAAGTATGACGAGCTGGGCTGGCATCACAGCCCAGTATGTTTCCTATACCAGCAACAGTTATACAACCAGATGGAAGAAAATGGGCTTATTTTTCATTCAATCATATGGGAATTGTCATTAGCTATTGGTAGACATGAAAGCTGAACAATAAAAATGCCATGCATGTTTTATGTACTGAAGGAGAGGAACGAGCCTATTAGTGTGCAGTAAAGATGAGAGTAGAGAAATGGGCAGACTAAAAGTCAAGTTTAGTTACAGGAGAGAAGCCTGTCCACAACTATAAACACTGTACCGTAGTCTACCTAAAAAGTAAGTCTTCATTCAACCTTGCGATTATGACTGTTTCAAAGGAACATGTTTTATTTGGCAAAACTATCCCAGTATTACCCCAGTTCAAAGTAGTCTCATTAATTTAAATGCAAATATATTTCCATTGTATTATGGACCGGTGGCCTGAAGTATCGAATAAATTTGTCTGTCTGTCTGTCATTAATTTAAATACTACCATAGAAATAAACAACTGAAAATTGATAATTTATGTCGTGAATAAATTTAATAAAAAAATATTTTTGAAAAAGTGTTTAACTTTGAGACCAAAATGTAGTTATATTCATGAGGAAAGAATCACTTCCTATCAAATTCCAAGAAAAGATAATGATGTAATGACTAAAAATAAAGAAGCTTTAACTCTGACAATAAAGTAAATTACACTGGCTGGTATCTGTGATCTTCAATTCTACACCTCGTCTCATTTCCCCTGAAGCCTTCCAGGACATATGATATGGATAGCCCATGGAATGATTCAGTAGTTACCACAGTTTAGTTGATAATGTATTCCTCATGATGATTAATACAAAGTGTCAGATGGAATGAAAGTAATATGTCTCAGGGCAGCTCCTCTTATGTGTTATATCTTGGTTTCTCATGCATAGCTTCGGCCAGATGTGATACAAACATTATACACATTAACTGCCATCGTTCTTAATGTTGTTGTCATTAATTAGATGAAATTACTTTGGTGAGGTTACTTTTGGGTTAATTGCTCATATTCTGGTTTCATTGGGAAAAACATGCTGATTGCTCAGTGTGCTTGGAATGTTTGGAATATTTGAATCTGTGTGGAGAAAATGATTATGAGAAAATTAAATAAATATAAAGTAGGCACCTGATACCAGTTAGAGATATTTACCTGTAAACTGTATTGTGAAAACATATGGTGTTTGTACACATGTGGATAGTTGGTTGTTAGGAAAGCATTAGCAAGACTAACAAGCAGCATGCGGACTGTTAGCAGGACCTCACAGGATAATGGCGCACGTCGATGAGGGCCGATGAGTGAAGCCTGTACCGCACGTGCTGTTGTCACGTTGTGCCAAACTACAATAAACCAAAATAAAGCCATAGATGAAATATTATTTCTATAAATATTGCGAAAGCAAGAAAAATGAGAACCGTGTGTGAGAAGTCATCAAAAAGATATTAATAGAGAGAGTCTGAATTCTGACGCTTGCTCAGAGGGTGCTCAGGTAGGGGGTGTTTGTAGAAATGATTTGCGAGTGTTTAATGAGGTTGAGAAGTAAAAAGAGAAGCCTGGTGTATTCTACGTAAATAAAAAAGTTTGATGGTTGGTGGGAGAAGTAGAATATGGTGATGGGCTGAGGAATAGCTTGATGATTCGGGGAGAGGGGACTGATGGGTTGGCGTTGGTGGCATTGGTGGCGGCGCTGCAGCTAGACTGACAGCCGGTTGGTAGTTAGGGATGCCATGGAGGCTACAAATATTATATATGGCAGGAAGAGTTTATGGATGCAGTAGTGTGCATTCCTCCTGTCAGAGAACCTCCAAGGCAGTTTGCAGATTGTAAGGGAAGTCAAAAAGCAAATTTTTGGCAGTAATTTCATCCAGACAAACAAACCCTGCCTGCCAAAAGCCACAGCCATTATTCCCTCTCTCTGAAATTGAGCATTAACCATGGTGTCATGTGCAGAATTGGCCCAGTATATCAAAACTTGGAGTTGAAATGCCTGCTCGTCATTTATGTGAAAGCCGTGTATGTAATTAGTTGTGTGATAGAGAACTGACATGAGATGGAAGGAGAGGCTGGGAGAGGCAACCTCTCCAGCTCAGATGTCAGGCCAGGTGTGCCCAGACAAACACTACTTATTATTCTGTGCTCCTATTTCTTATACTTGCCTTGGCTTCATGTCTGCCTTCCTGAATCTTGATCCCCTTGACATAATTCTTACATTAACATTGCACGCTCTTTATTTGCTTCCTTAACACCATCTGTGTATTTCAATATACATTAGTTACATATATCAGTAATACATAAGATATGTAAATTTAATTGCAATGACTTATGTGAAATGTACAAATATTTGTAAGTGAAATATTTTAGATAAATGATTTTTATTTGCATCTTTATTTTTCATTTCATTAACTGGTGAATTTGTAGATTGACACTGACATGTAACATATATCCTCAGTTCTTATGATGGTTGTTTGTATTTTCAGGTGAAAGACCTTTCAAATGCAACATCTGCGGAAACAGGTTCTCCACCCGAGGCAACTTGAAAGTGCACTTTGAACGTCATAAGGCCAAGTACCCACATGCCAAGATGAATCCTCATCCTCAACCAGAGCATCTTGAGCGGCCAATGCCAATGCTTACTCCCTTCGGAGTACCCCAAATGCCGACAGTCCCCACCTCCATGCCGCTGCCTCCAGGTCTGATGTCACCACCAGTCACAGCCTCACTCCCTATGAGTTCTTTGGGAATGCTCATGCCATCGCCACCAATCCCAGTTGCTCCACGGCCTCCTCCACCAAAATCATCAGATCCAGAATCAAAGCCGAAGGACAAACCTCACTCTAGTCCTCCCCCTGCTAGTGAGGCCTCCTCTCAAAAAAGCCCACCTGAAGATAGTTCACGCAATGTCAAGTCTTCCGTGGCTCCACCTCTCCCATCCTTAACCTCTACGAGCAGTACACCATGCACACCATGCACACCAAGCACACCAAGCACACACAGCACACACAGCACACACAGCACATACAGCACACACAGTATCACAAGCTCTCACTTGATGCCAAGTCTGAAGCTGCCTAGTCCTTCAATGTCAACTCATAGTGCAACTCATAGTGCCATGCCTAGCTACAGCTTGCCAGCCACACCGACCAGTTTCCCATTGCCATCCCCGCTGGCATCCAACATGCCATTAGGAGTAATGGCATCTCCTTTTGGACCACTGCCACCACCTCCTCCACCCCCACCTACTTCCCAAGGAGACATGTTCAGAAACTCTATTCTGCCCACTAAGACTATAGAACCTACTGAAGATCTGGAAAGATATATGGAGTGCACCAAATCTGAGACCTCGAAGCTAGAACAACTTGTGAAGAACATAGAACAGAAGATCACTGACCCAAACCAGTGTGTTATATGCCACCGAGTTCTTAGCTGTAAGTCTGCTCTACAGATGCATTATCGTATTCACACTGGAGAAAGGCCATTTAGATGCAAGATCTGCAGTAGATCCTTCACTACCAAGGGTAATCTGAAGACGCACATGGGTGTACACAGATCCAAGCCCCCACTTCGGATGATGCACCAATGCCCAGTTTGCCATAAACAATTTACCAACTTGCTGGTTCTACAACAGCACATTAGAATGCACACTGGTGAACCAATGCATGATCTGAACCATTCTGCCTTATACAGGCACCCTGACTGGGCACCAAAACCCCCAGAATTTGGGAAGATGTTTGACCACAAACCGTTTGACTTGTCCCACCACCATGGAGAAGGAAAAGAACTGGATCTTAGCAGGAGTGGATCCTACTGCGGCAGCGACATGATGGATGTATATGGTCCTAACTCTCAGGAAGATGATGACTTTCGTTCCGAAAATGATATCAATGATGAGGAACTAGACATGGATGAAGGTATGGATGATCCCAGAAATGAGATGATGGAAGATGCTGAAATGATGGATGACAAAGATGATTATGATGAACCATCTGATGAAAACATACCATCAGAACATCCTCAAGAGGGAGAAAGACCCAACTCTGCTGCATCCAGAGCATCCCCTCCAAGGGAAACATCTAGTCCGAACCCAAGCCTGCCTCCTTCTTCATCCAGACCTGAAAGCAGAGGTACTCCTGTTATCACAAGCTCCTTCTCTAGTCCATACTACAATACCTCTCTGGCTGCCCTTGAAGAGAGAGTGAAAGCTATTGATAGTCAAATGGCTCAGGCTTCCTTTGAACGATTCCGCAATAGTATGGGACTTGGTCACAGTCCTGGGTTGATGACGAAACTGCCATCCAGCTACCCTTACCAGAATGGTGATAGGTCTCCAGTTACATCTCCCAGAAGCCCCTCTGTATCAGAGGCTGGGTCGGAAGGAAGCAACATGAGAGATGACCATCCACATGGCTACAACCCTGATGCTCCTCTTCCCTTTGGATTTCCCATGATGGGCTACGGTGATCTCCGATCTGGCGCTGAGAAACGCAACACAACATGCAACATTTGTTTCAAGACATTTGCCTGTCGGAGTGCACTTGACATTCATTATAGAAGTCACACTAAGGAACGCCCCTATAAGTGTGATGTCTGTGACAGAAGTTTCTCCACCAGAGGAAACATGAGGCAGCACATGCTTACACACAAGATTCGGGATCTGCCATCGCAATCCTTCACGGGTAACAGTAGTGACAGCCAGAGTGGCTGCACCAGAAGTGAGCCATCATCACCCAGGGGCCCAAGTCCTGATGAATCCCCTCCAGTACCCAAGCCTGAATCTCACCCCAAGTCTGAAACCCCACCACCACCTTCAGCGCCCACCTTAAGCAATAACAATGATGAAAGTCACAATAATAACAATAACAATAATAATAATAATACCAAGAGTCCTCAGCACTCCTCCACTCCAGTGACCTCTCAATCATCGATGAACCACAACAGTAACAGCTCAGACAGCTCTCAATTCAATCGAAGAACAGGCCCAAAACATCAATGTATGACCTGCATGAAAACTTTTTCGAGCGCCAGTGCACTGCAGATCCATACCAGAACACACACGGGAGACAAACCCTTTAAGTGTACTGTCTGTGGGAAGGCCTTCACCACTAAGGGCAATTTGAAGGTCCACATGGGAACGCACATGTGGAGCAACAGTCCTTCAAGAAGAGGCAGGAGGATGTCCATCGAGCCACCCTTCATGCTGTCTCATGTCAAGGACAACCCATTCCTTGCTGGCTTTCACCGCCCCCCAGAGTTTTACTTCCAGTACCCCCCATTCATGAATGGCTTGCCACCTCAGAAGATGAATGAGATTTCTGTTATACAGAGTGTGAATGGAGGCATGAATCATCAGTACCCACCGATGCATCAACCTGGCATGGGCTTCAGTGTCAAGGCTGAGCAAAAAGAATCTGAACGTGACCATGATCGTGAACGTGACCATGATCGTGAACGTGACCATGATCGTGAACGTGAACGAGAACGTGAACGAGAACGAGAACGTGAACGAGAACGCCATCATAGTGATGGCCGTGGAAGTGAGAAAGATGTGGATGTAAGCAGGGAAGCCAGAGACAATGTATCAAATGGTGGCAGTAGCCCTAGTGAATCAAAACACATCTTATCTTCAGGAGAACTCGATTTGAGCATGAGATCCTCCTCATCGGCCTCGGCCAACTCAAGCTCACTCTCCTCTCCTCACAGTAAGGAGTCCCCCAATGACTCTAGCCCATACTCCTCTCAGGCCTGGCTGTGGAAAGCTGGCAGCTGCCACTTCTGTAATCAGACCTTCCAATCTCAGGCTGCTCTAGAACAACATATACAAACTCAGCACGTTCCAACATCCCATGTGACCGGAACAGACTCTCATAAAGCGCTTGTGGCATAGGCCGTGATATAACATACTAGCTTCAGTGTGACATGAATATTGTGCTTAGCTAGAAACATTCCAGTGTCAGTGACTGTGTTGTGGTGTATGGTTGAGCAGCTGTAGATCATTGCAGATCCTTCATTGTGACAAACTGTGTGCTGCGGTAGACTGAATGGCTGCTTCTTCTATTGGAGCAGGTTCTGCAGGATGTCCTCAGTGCTGCTGGGGTCTTCTAGTCCTGTTGTCCTCAATGCTGACCTGTGAGCAGGATTTGTAGGAGGACCTGGATGAGGTCCTACGGTTGCAGTGCTGACTTCTTGTTTATCATCGTACTCCATCATTGTCATCATCACATGACAAGGTTGTGACATCAACTTGTGACATTATATTGTTGACTTAGTGATCATCTTGTTTTTACTCAATGAGAAAACTCCTACAAACAGTGATGTTTTTAACTTTGAACAGTGAACATGTGGATTTAGTGGTCAGTGAACTGATATCCGATGCCATAGTAAAGCATTACATCCCTCATTGCTACTTAAAGACATTGAAGCCAGTTCATTGCCGATCGCATTTCAGCTCTGTTTACAGGGCTTCACTTGTGCTTAATATTTCTTCTTGTTATCTATTGTTCTCTGCAGCATTACTCAATCAACTAGGATTAAGTGGTAGTGTAGATTCATGTACTTACAAACTTGTTATGTTTATGTCTTGAATTGACATGAATGGATGTAATTATTATTTGTACATAATTTATACATGTTCTAGTCGGATCGAAACATCTAATCAATATGGAATCAAAACCATTTTTGGTTGTAACTGTTTTTGCCAATAGGGATCACATCTCTACCTCCCCTTTTGACACTCTTCAATGTTTGGAGTTAAATATTTTTGTGTTCATATGCGGCAAACCAACTTAAGTCAGTTTTTCACAAAAATACGTACAGTGCATTATTTTTATAACCCTGAACATGTTCTACTTACTTGATATATTCGGTTTGTGAATCTTACTTAAGATTTTGTTTTAATACCACAACCTAATGGTTTAATGGTCCTCTGCTACTTACAGATTTTGCAATTTTTATGATGCACATTTTGTTTTGGATTCTCAGTCAATGTGATATGCTAATTGCATCCATGAAGCTAGACTTTGAGATGAGAGAATTTGTACGAGTGTGATTGCTAAATTATCACAGCCACAGTGATGCAATACAAACCCTTCAGACATATTTGTTGACTGAATATCCATATTTCAGAATTCTTGTTATGATCTATAATCCGTTCAAATATTATTAATCACCAAAGATTTTGTTGATTTTATTTCATTGTCAGAATATATCAATCATTTTTGAGTATTTTTAGTATTATCATGGCTAACTGGTTTTGTAAGCCATGCCTATGCAAACAACCAAAGACATAAGTCAGTCTACATTGCTTTTTGTCAGCTTTTGTTATTTTGATATGACACTGTTCTCTTTGTGTTTCTTCAAGTCAGCTGGCTGAAGAGTAGATGTTGTGTTACAAATAGCATGGACATGTTCAGTGTGTTAAATGCTGAAAGCAGGTTGGTGCTATGCGGCCATTGCTTGGGGAAACTTACTACTACTTATATGTTATTTGGCGATGTACTATTTTCCATTCTTGTTAATCTTGTTAAATGTTTGTAGAATAGTCTTCCATTTAAAGAAAGTGTCTAAATGTATATTGAAAAAAACTCTATAGCACCTTTCTGTTACTTGTTAATCAAAATCTTCTACGAAACATCCAGGGTCAAAGGTGCCATAACACATTTTCTTGGTAGAAGTAGATTTCGTCGCTTCTTGTACTTTTTGTAGCACTTGTTTGTTTATTTTGCTTTTTGCCTTGATGAACTGTGATAGTCGTTGAGAAATCCGTACTTACGTTTTCCACCCTTGCATATGTTGAAGTCAAGCTTTAGCGTTGTTTGGATTCATTCTCCTTGAGAATTGGAAGGAAGTCTGTCTGCTTTTTGGAATTGTAGCCTTCCCCACCTTCTTGTAAAAGGAAATCTACGTGTCATACCTAAACTCTGAGTATTGGCTGTACTGGTTATGAAATCACAGTTTCTTCGTCTGAACCATGAACCCAATGAACTCCTTCGCCATCCATTAGTTAAGCTAGAGCTGATTTTGTTGTAGAAGAGGCATATCAATTTTCTTTCCTCCAACGCCTGGCTGCCCGTCCATGGTTTCGAAATCCATAAAACTAGGACGTTCTTTTGTGTTCTGATTTGAGAAACATATCACCAGTATCGAATTTTGATCGTGGAATCCAAACAGCAGAAGACAACGAAAGAGAACACAACTTGAAATGGCCGCGAGCCTTTTGAACTACGCAAGACAAATAATACCTCTTTACCCCCGAAGACTATACACAGACATGGTATTGTGTTTGGCCCCTATATTTTAACCATTTTAATTTTTCCAGTATGATATTTTTTGCTTCAAAGGCATTTCGTTTGGCAAAGGCAATTTGAGATGCCCCCAAATTGTATATAGTTTGTAGATATGGTCACTTGAGGAATTTCGGCTCTATTGCACAGTGTGGTGTACCACTGGAAATTATATTTGTTTGGTAAATTCTTCTTCCGTTTGCGTTCCTTCATTCTTTGACCTTTCGTTAATCTTCTCTTGAGTTAGAACGTTAACTTTGTCTCTTAAAGAGGGAGGCAGTAGGATATAGCTTTATATTTTGTCATATGAAAAATAAACCATTGTTCACTATTCAAATGCAACTTTTGTGATTTCTTACATGGGAGTGGAAGATATGGACGTTTTCATGTTCAAGATTTTCAAGAGTTACCGAAGCTCACCGACAATATCGTAAGTTTAACCTTTCACTTTGGCCACTGTTATGGCAGGAAAGGGTGTTTACACCACACTTTGGGGAATAATTCAACTGGGTTAACTCATGAAAGACTGGACAGGTGGTATTTTCGAGGTCGGCAATCTCGGTAGCTCATGTAAATCAGGTATGACCACAAATCTATAAATGCCGCTGTAAATGGCGAAAAGATCCCCGAACACGGTGTTGGATAAATCCTTGCTGACGAAGTAAAGCCGTCTATGAAGTTATACTTAGCACTTCGCGGCCCTCCCGATATGCGTGTTCATACAGGGCCCTGTTCCTCAAAGCGATCTTAGCGCTAAGGTGATCGTAAGTCCCATAACATAGGCTTACGATCATCGTAGCACTAAGATCGCTTTGAGGAACGGGGCCCAGTTCTTTGATAATGCAAGACACCAGTGGATGTATGAAGATGTACCAGAAGACAAGGGATAGAGGTGTGTATGTTCAATGGCCACTCAAACGGTAGTCTGTGGATGAATAACACGTTAGGGTAGCTGAAAAACGCCGTAATGACTTTGTGGGCAGGCTTGACACATTCGAAGATTTTGTAATTTTCAATTTCTAAAAAAACAATTTATCTCTACGTGAGGGTGGTAGATCCTGCGCTACACAGCACGTCAATTTCGGCTATAACCGGCGAAAGAAAGTATGCACTTGAAAATTGGATTTGACCAAACAATTTCAAACGTTATCAAAACGTAACAGTCGCTGAGACACTGCAAACTTAAGGTCCAAAACACTACCCGTTGTGAGATTCTCATTGATATGATTCATGTATCATCGTCGAGGATACCGTGTCAAACACATCAAACGTGGTTGTATTCTTCCTTTTGCCGGCAATTAAGAAGGACCTTCAGGGTCTGCTGATGGTGTTCGATTCCTAGGTTGGCCCTGATTATGATCCTTGGTTTGTTAAGATCATATCTGCCTTAACCTGAGTCACTCCAACATTAACATGACAACGCGGCGTTAAACAATACTATCCACACAGAAGCAAAATCATAGCAACTTCGCTATACAGTGTTTGTTGTTTGTTGTTTAACGCCACACTCAGCAATATTCCAGATTTATGACGCGGTCTGTAAATAATTGAGTCTGGACCGGACAGTCCAGTGATTGACATCATGAGCATCGATCCACGCAATCAGGATACGATGACATGCATCAACCAAGTTAGCGAGCCTGACCACTCGATCCCGTTAGTCGCCTCTTACGACAAGCATAGTCGCCTTTTACGACAAGCATGGGTTGCTGAAGACCTATTCTACCCCGGATCTTCACGGGCCCACTTTACAGTGAGTGAGTTGGGTTTAACGCCACTTATACAACAGTATTCAAGTGTGAACTTAATGTGGCAGGAAACCCCGATGTGATGCAGGTGTCAGACGATTATAGGTTTGGTGAAACCAACGAGCGTGGATATGGCGCCGACAAACCTAGAAACATAGTCGGGTTGAACCGGGATTCGAACCCACGATCATAGGTTTCTGGCAAAGTCTGCACAACGAATGATGAGCGTGAAGCCCTTAGCGCTAAGGTGATCGTAAGTCCCATAACATAGGCTTACGATCATCGTAGCTCTAAGATCGCTTTGAGGAACGGGGCCCAGTTCTTTGATAATACAAGGCACCAGTGGATGTATGAAGATGTACCAGAAGACAAGGGATAGAGGTGTGTATGTTCAATGGCCACTCAAACGGTAGTCTGTGGATGAATAACACGTTAGGGTAGCTGAAAAACGCCGTAATGACTTTGTGGGCAGGCTTGACACATTCGAAGATTTTGTAATTTTCAATTTCTAAAAAAACAATTTATCTCTACGTGAGGGTGGTAGATCCTGCGCTACACAGCACGTCAATTTCGGCTATAACCGGCGAAAGAAAGTATGCACTTGAAAATTGGATTTGACCAAACAATTTCAAACGTTATCAAAACGTAACAGTCGCTGAGACACTGCAAACTTAAGGTCCAAAACACTACCCGTTGTGAGATTCTCATTGATATGATTCATGTTTCATCGTCGAGGATACCGTGTCAAACACATTACCATCAAACGTGGTTGTATTCTTCCTTTTGCCGGCAATTTTGAAGGACCTTCAGGATCTGCTGATGGTGTTCGATTCCTAGGTTGGCCCTGATTATGATCCTTGGTTTGTTAACATCATATCTGCCTTAACCTGAGTCACTCCAACATTAACATGACAACGCAGCGTTAAACAATACTTTCCACACAGAGCAAAACCATAGCAACTTCGCGATACAGTGTTTGTTGTTTGTTGTTTAACGCCACACTCAGCAATATTCCAGATTTATGACGCGGTCTGTAAATAATTGAGCCTGGACCGGACAGTCCAGTGATTGACATCATGAGCATCGATCCACGCAATCAGGATACGATGACATGCATCAACCAAGTCAGCGAGCCTGACCACTCGATCCCGTTAGTCGCCTCTTACAACAATCGTAGTCGCCTTTTACGACATCTAGATGTCGCAGATGCGACAGATTGAACGTCCACGTTCAGCAGACCAGAGTGAAGTCAAGCTGCCGTATACATGGAATTCTTATCATGCAACCGAAATGACTGTGTTTCAAAGTTTGTAATTCTCTACTTTCATACACTACACACATTACGCCAACACATATACTTGCATGCAGTTTGACAGACTGCATTTGATTTAGCTCACCATATCGTCATCGTTCAGTGTGAGCCAATGTTAATTTACTCCCGTCAGTTCTTATACCACAAGGTACATGCGCATTCCAACCCCCCCCCCCCCCCCCCCCCCCCCCACACACACACACAAAAAGAGAAGAAAAAGAAACACACACCCTTTGTGACAATGCCTGTCGAGGTTGTTTTGAAATATATGGCTTTTCATTTCCAACAAATATAAATGGCACAGGGTGTGATTAAAGTATTTTTGAAATTTCCTAATTAACATTTTTTATTTACATCTGGGGTGTGATTCGTTTCAGATTACGACCAACACCAGGTGTGAAAAGAAACAATGCAAGTTACGATCTCAGTGTTGTTGCATTTCTGAAATATACTGACGGGCAAAAGAAAGTAAACATTGAATTAAAATTTGAAATTGAATTTGACCAAAACATTACAAATGTTATTAAAAGGTTACTAGGCTGGAAAAAGTCGCCGAAACATTGCAAACTGAAGGTCCGAAACACAGCTATGATACCCGTATCAAATACACACCATCGAAAAACTAGTTTTTAATTGTTAACCCCCATGCATGACAGCTGCAGGTCCAGGAATGGTAGGTCGGGGGACTGCCTGATAGCAAGGCTATAAATACAATGTACTCAAGGGTATTACAACATATTTACTTCATTGAATCAATAACGTCAGGGTTTTAATTTCTACTTACCAATCAATATTGCATAAAGATGTGACAATGATGATATATATACACGCACCCGACTTCTCAACTAAATTTAAATACAAAGAGTAGGGCTCCTTTACTTATATTAACAGACAATTTAACCCCAAAGAATCATTAAAATATATTTTTATCGTTTCGGAGACTTTATGTCAGTCTACGAGAAACTTTACTGGAAAAATCTAGACTTGCCAGAGTATTGTGGACTTGCTAGGGATAACCGGATATGTTGTATGAGATCTGTGTGAGACTGTGGGAATGATGCGACTGGCGGCACTATTAACACTGTCAATTTGGGCTCCAAACACGGTATTTGACGCAGTGGATTGATTTGCATAGTAACCACCTCAGAAAACCGATGCTTTGCATTGAACAGTCTGAAAAGACTGTACAATATTTAATGACTCCTGTTTGAGCCACGATCCATGCTATTCAGTTCGGCGTCACTCATCACCCATCCAATAACCATTCACTGCCACACGTGGGGTTCTAATTGGCCCCCAGGGCCATGTGCTGGACGGAAGTGGCGATCTAACGGGGGTGGGTGGTGGTGGGGGTGGGGGTGGGGGTGGAGGTGTGTGTGTGTGTGTGGGGGGGGGGGGGGGGGGGGGGGGTTACTCGGTTACTTGGATGATTGCGTTTCAACGGGACGTTGCTCATGATATCAATCACTGGTTTCTCTGGTGCAGACTCGAGTGCTTGCAAGCCCCCGTCATATAGTTTGATTAGGTTGTGTTAAACAACAAACAATATATAAACATTATCAGCAGCCATTTTGACCAAATACTACCCATTATAGTCGGCAAGTATGATGAGACAAATGTAAGGGACACAATGACGTCTCTCAATACTCATGAGAGTGAACATCGACACGAGCCTTTCGAATGATAGAAAGAGTGAGTGAGTATGGTTTAACGCCGCTTTTGGCAATATACCAGCAGTATCACAAGGTAGACACAATTTTATGGATAACAACTTCTTTAATACTGTCTTGCTTGACAACGGTATAAGGATCTTTACCGAAACGTCGCTTATTACAGTATTAAAGAAGTTGTTATCCATAAAATTGTGTCTACCGTGTCATCTGTCAACTTCTTAGTAATGCCTATCAAACAATTCAGCAATATCACGTCGGGGGACACCAGAAATGGGCTTCACACTTTGTACCCATGGGGGAATCGAACCAGGGACTTCGGCGTGACGAGCGAACGCTTTAACCACCAGGCTACCCCACCGCCCCATCAAACCCTGGGGACAATACCGTCTCAACTTGAAGCAATATTTACTCAAAATATTCAATCAAACGAAGAAGATATTTTTAGCTTTAATGATAATACTTCTCACAAACAACACACTTATTGTGTAACACTTCACGTCAGATCCTATTTCAGAGTAAACGTTAATATCGAGACGGGATGGAATTTAATTTAAATTCTTCGTATCTGGATATCGCTAGAAATCGGTCAGACAGTCCTTTGTGC